TACTCGTCAAACAAAAACAACCTCTGGCAAACTGGCTAAGTGCCGAAGTGGTCCGGTCCATACCGGATAACTGAAAAACTCTTTCCGATTGTGTATCAGATCAAGTTCACCGAATGGAACAAAGATCCCATCTATAAGTGGGTCCACAGAAATCAGATCAAATTACACAAGGGTTCCGCCTATTTGGACGAAGCTGCAACCCATGGATCTGCTGACCAAAATCAAATTGACTCAAAAGGGGGGTGAATTTTCCATCCACTCTCCCTCGGTTCCCTGTTTCAGGTCTCACAAGTTCTGTTGTGTGTATGTGTGTGCGTGGATAGAATTCATGTCTAAATGTAGCATACGAACTTGGATGACACTGTTGTGGTTCTGTTAGGTCATGACAGTTAAAAGTGAGTAAATCCACTAACTGTTATGTTTGATCCAAAAGCAATTTGTATTTTTCAACTTCTAGTGATTTTGACAAATTTTATTTTTTTTTTGTACGCTGAAGGACTAATTTGGGTCCATTTATTAATTTTTATATACTTCATTTTATTTACTAATCTCTAATTTCTACTGTGTATATTCACATGTAGGTTTGAGTACTAATATCTCTGATTTACATTAATGTGTTTTATCCTCTTTATATTAGCTGTATTACTGATTCTTTAAACATATAATCACAGATATATTTCTGCATTATTTCATTACAGCTGATTTCCTTTTGTCATTTCTATTATGATCAATTTTATTTAGATTTTTACCAGTTATGGGCTACAGTTTATTTTGCCTTCTTTTTTGATAACATTTTGCTCCAAGCGTTGATTTTCCCTTACTTGTATTATAGGGTTATGTTGATTTAGTTCTTTTTGCAACAATTTTTCAGTACACGTAGTTTACTACATCCATTTCTATCACCTGAACTCCGTTCACATAATTTGCTTCACATAGCACATACAGGGTTCACATAATTGCTTCACATAAAACATGTAGGCACATGTAGTGCTAGGTTTATTTTTGTTTGTTTTGCATCAGGCGCCATCCATGTGTGTCTACATCGAAATGCCCTGTGTCTGCTCTTCTTCTCCTCTGGGTTCGCCTGTTATCGTCGCTTCCTGGGCGGGTCTCTCTACACCATCGCCTGATGTAGCTGCCTGCTGACTGAGGGTTCGGTTCGTGTGGGTCTGGACGTCCTGTGGTTCCTGCCGTACTTACGGGAGCTCTGCGGTTCGCCTGGGGCCTGGACCGGCCTCTGGTCATCTGTTTACATTCCTGGGGATTCTGATAAGTGGATTACTTTTGTTTCTCAGAAGTGGATTATTTTTTGTTGTTGTTTAAGGAGCTACATTGACTATTCTCTGGTGTGGGGTTTGCTTTCCTCACTCCAGGGGCCTTTGCCTGGAAACTAACCTGTGCTTCCTCAACTGAGTCCCAAGGGCCTCTGACTAGTTCCAACGACCCGTGGTTTCTGCCAGGACCCCGTGCCCTTGGAAAGGGGGGTCTGTAGCGTCCAGCAATGGTCAGTTTAGATACAGCTGACCTTCCACCATCTATTCAACATCTGGTCTTTAAAGAGCAAGTCACCCCCAAATAAACATTTTTTTGCTGATAAACTAAATAAATGAGTGTCTAATTGTGCTGCAGACACATGTCGTCAATAATTTGGCACTTCAGTGCATCTTAGTTAAAATTTAAATATTCTGCCTAAAACTGGCAGTGTTGTGCCGTTGTCAGGTAAAAACTCTGCACTGTATTTTAATTTAAATCTGCCACCGCTATTGGCTAAGAAGTATGCTATGATGTAAACTGGTACATTATGATGTCACAATGCTGTCGTGAGCCTGAGTGTGTGTGTATTTGTTAGCGGCTCCGCCCTCTCGGTCTGCCAGGCAACAGCATGTGTTGCATTTTTCAAACATGAAGTGGGAGTGGAGTTAGACTCTGGTAGGGGTTGACTTGCTCTTTAAGGAGACACAACATTGCTTGTGTTCCCTTTAAACAAGTCTGCCTTCACACCAGCTGGGAGTCAGACTCAACTTGTCTGATCCAAAACAAGAACTAACTTTTTCCCCAAGGTCTTATCTGCGCCTCCAGAAGAAAGAAGAGCAGCTCAAATACGTTGCTAAACTCAAGAATATTATAATAAATCATTACTAACTCCTTTTATTACTTTAATCTATTAAATCATTAAATAAAAAATTGCTTATTATTACTTTTGGGAAAAATATAATGAAATGAAATGCTTCATTAATCTAAACCACTGAGTGGATGTTACGTTTATCTAATAGACTGTGTTCACCATGTTTTGACGACAAGGTTTTCATACCTGCTCACACTGCTCAAAAACCATAACAAGTACGGCTAAGTCAAATTCATTTCACATAGCTAGACCTTCCACCCAGATCAGAGTCTTCATATTAAGAAGGCGTGTTTCTGTTGCCTTGGTAACCTCTATGTTCCTGTCAGCTTCTAATTGGCTGACCAAACCATAACAAATAACTTATAAAACTAAAGCGGACTGAGAGATCTTCAGTTCTGAACAGTCCTGGAGAGTACTGGAAAGTTCTTGAGATAGCTCAGATTGGCCACCTGTTGCTAATACTCCATAAACATCCCAGATTTTTACACGTCGAGAAAGAACCTTTTTGTATCCGCAAAGCTGATGAGAAAAACTTCCTGCAGATCAAAGCTGATATTGTTCAACTCCTTAAGAGAATCCCTGAGACGCAAGCTGATTCCATCCTGTATTGCCTGTTGACATCTTTTGGACCGTGGAAAGTCGCTACCGTGTGGTCAAAATACTGGACCTGGGTGCCCCGAGGTCATCTGACCTCCCTGACCTCTGGATCCTGACAAGGCAATCACGTGGACAAATACAGCATTACCTGGAGGGGTGTGATTGGCAGGAATGGCCCGCCTGGACACCCGACTCAAGAGAGGAGCAGAGCTGTCAACTGATCACCACCTGGTGGTGAGTTGGATCAGATGGCAGGGGAAGATGCCGCATAGACCTGGCAGACCCAAACGCATAGTGAGGGTCTGCTAGGAACGCCTGGCAGAAGAACCTGTCAAGACGGTCTTCAACTCCCACCTCCGGCAGAACTTTGACCGCGTCCCGAGAGCAGTGGGGGACATTGACTCCGAGTGGGCCTTGTTCCACTCTGCGATTGTTGAGGCGGCTGTTGCTAGCTGAGGTCGCAAGGTGGCCGGTGCCAGTCGTGGTGGCAACCCCCGTACTCGCTGGTGGACACCAGAGGTTCGGGGAGCCATCAGGCTAAAGAAGGAGGCCTACAGGGCATGGCTGGTCTGTGGATCTCCGGAGGCAGCAGACAGGTACCGGATAGCCAAGCGGGGTGCAGCAGTGGCAGTTGCCGGGCTTGGGAGGCGATTGGTGAGGCAATGGAGAAAGACTATCGATCGGCTCCAAAGAGGTTCTGGCAAGCTGTCCGGCGCCTCAGGAGAGGAAGGCAGCAACTCGCTCACACTGTTTACAGTGGAGATGGGGAGCTGCTGACGTCATCTGGGGCTATAGTCGGACGGTGGAAGGAATACTTTGAGGAGCTCCTCAATCCCACCTACGCGCATTCCGAGGAGGAACCAGAGCCGGGAGACCTGGAGATGGACTGTCCAATCTCGGGGGCAGAAGTTGCTGAGGTAGTCAAACAACTACACAGCGGCGGAGCCCCGGGGACGGACGAGATTCGTCCTGGGTATCTCAAGGCTATGGATGTTGTAGGGCTGTCGTGGTTGACACGTCTCTGCAACATTGCGTGGTCATCGGGGGCAGTTTCTGTGGAGTGGCAGACCGGGGTGGTGGTCCCCATCTTTAAGAAGGGTGACCTGAGGGTGTGTTCCAACTATAGGGGATCACACTCCTCAGCCTCCCTGGAAATGTCTACTCCAAGGTACTGGAGAGGAGGGTCCTATCGATGATTGAATCTCAGATTGAGGAGGAGCAATGTGGTTTTCGTCCTGGCCGTGGAACTGTGGACCAGCTTTATACCCTTGCAAGGGTGATGGAGGGGGCATGGGAGTTTGCCCAACCAATCCACATGTGTTTTGTGGATTTGGAGAAGGCTTATGACCGTGTCCCCAGGGGCACCCTGTTGGGGATGCTCCAGGTGTATGGGGTGGGTGGCTTTCTGTTAAGGGCCATTTAGTCCCTTTACCAGAGGAGCGTGAGTTTGGTCCGCATAGCCGGTAGTAAGTCGGACCTGTTCCCGGTGAGGGTTGGACTCCGCCAGGGCTGCCCGTTGTCACCGGTTCTGTTCATTACCTTTATGGACAGAATTTCTAGGTGCAGCTGTGGTGTGGAGTGTGTCGAGTTTGGTGGCAGGAGAATCTCTTCTCTGCTTTTTGTGGATGATGTGGTCCTCCTAGCTTCATCCAGCTCTGACCTTCAGCTCTTGCTGGGTAGGTTCGTGGCCGAGTGTGAAGCGGCTGGGATGAGGATCAGCGCCTCCAAATCTGAGTCCATGGTTCTCGACCGGAAAAGGGTGGCTTGCCAACTCCGGGTTAGGAGAGAGGTCCTACCTCAAGTGGGGCAGTTTAAGTATCTCGGGGTCTTGTTCACGAGTGAGGGTAGGAGGGATCTGGAGATCGACAGGTGGATTGGTTCAGCATCTGCAGTGATGCGGACGCTGAGCTGATCTGTCGTGGTGAAGAGGGAGCTGAGCCAGAAAGCCAGGCTCTCGATTTACGATCTACGTCCCAATCCTCACCTATGGTCATGAGCTTTTGGTAATGACCGAAAGAACCAGATCGCGGATACAAGCGACCGCAATGAGTTTCCTCCGTAGGGTGGCCGGGCTCAGCCTTAGAGATAGGGTGAGGAGCTCAGACATTCGGGAGGGACTAGCTAGCTATCATCTGTAATATTTATAAACATTTAAAGTTTCCGCTGTGGCAGAGTCTGTATTAAAATCTATATTTTTCTCTGGATCAAGCTAACAAGACTCCCTCTGCCTGCGTCTGGTTTAGAAAATAATTGGCATTAGCCACTCACGGAGCCCAAGATGGCGTCATGGTGCCCATCCATGGCGACACACAGGCCACATAGCATTCACACCGACCCAAGGTGCATAGGGTCCCAGATTGCAACCCCCTCATTTTATGCTAAATGACTTCCATCTGCAGACATTCTCTCCATGATCCTACAGATGCCCTTTGAACTGTCTGATCCATAAGTTCTCCTTTTGGTTTTAGGAACATTTTTCTTGGCAATGCTTAAAACCGAGTAGAGATGTATTTGCTTCAGGATTAATGTTTGTGATGTAACCAAGCTGTGAGGAGGAGACAGTGATGGTACAGTCCAGACAGAAAGGGTACAGTCCAGTGTAACGTCCAAAAGGGTCGATTTTCACCTATAGCATAGTGACCTTTTATCTACAGCCTTAATCCACTTTCTGTTTGACCTTCTAAATCCAGAAGGTTCTGTTCAGCGCGTGTTTACATACCATGAAGACAAAACATTCAAACCAACATTCTCACCCAAGGTTCTTGCACTCACTGTGTGAACGCCAGACGTCAACATTCTTCACTCTGAATAAGTGAAGACTCCACAATGTTATAGTTATAAGTTAAATAATCATATGTGATGAATAAACAAGATGTTTTAATCAAATGTTTGAATAATCTGTGCTTAAATCAATTAATTAGATATGAATATTGTTCTTACAATGATCCATTTATGTCTCAAATCAGTATGTGTTTGATTTAATAAGTTAGTCATTGTTTACCTCATACATATTACAATAAGATACACACTAAGGTGGAAAAAACACTCACCGTGAACTAGCTTGACTGTCTTTCATCGCTAATATATATATATATATATATATATATATATATATATATATATATATATATATATATATATATATATATATATATATATATATACTGGTTTTTAAAATTATTTCATGATGGCACCCCTTTGTTTCCATTTAAGTTTGATCTGAAAAATAGCAATCGCTCCAGAAAAATAAGATTTACATCCACCGTTTAAATGCAGATTTCCATTATATGAGCATCTGATGGCCTTTTGAAACCTAATTGAAGAGGCAACAAGCAGAATGGTGAGGGTCACCAGAGGGCAAAAGAGCTTTTCTACCAGCACATCCACCGAGAGCCCTATGAACAGACCATTTGCAAGTTTAACAAAATTACTACCTGGTTGTTCTGTGTTGATTACATATTTTTGTTGCAGCCTGGACCGTTTTTTTTCTCTCTCAAATTGTTGCCAATTGACGAGCTGTTTCTGTTGGTGAAAAATATTTTTGGTGGGGCTGTGCTATTTTTTTTTAAACAAACTTGTGCTTTCTGAGCTTTGTGCACAACTTCACTTTTCCTGAATTAAGCACAGCTCTTTTATTTCCTGTCTTACATCATTGGACAAACTGATTAATCCAGGTGTGTCTGACTATTGGCACACTGCCTTGCAGACCAAGGTTGAAAAATACTGCATTACTGTAAATTGCACATAAAATTACATGACCATAAATGGTAAATAGGCAATGCAAGAGGCAAGTAACAAAAACATTTTGTTTAATTTCAACATTTGAGTGAACACGAAAAATTATGAGCAGGTCACTGTTACAGTAATGGTAGTAAACACCACTTAGACAAAATGCCAGAAATTTACACTGTTAGGACTTATAGAAAGTGGAAACACTTTCATAGGAAATAATGTCATCAGTATCCTCTTACAAATGTCATATTTCCCACTTTTTGGGACAATAAAACATTTCTGGTTCTCAATGAGATGTTTTTACTTCACGACCAAAAACGTGCTGGAGTAGTCGAGACTCTCCGAGTTCTACCAAACTCCAACGAAAGCCTTTGGCGGTAGCTCTATCGCCCATCATGCTTCTGAAACAACGTCGACGCTGATTGGATACATTCCCATTCCTACCGTTTGATTTTCTTGTCAGCAATTGGTCGGCTGGTGCCGTCCTGTTTGGGCGATTGAAACACAGCCCACAGCCTTTCTGTCGCCTCCACAGGTCGGCAGAGACCAATATATATATATATATATATATATATATATATGATTTGTTTTTGTTACAAAACACACAATTAACTTAGAATATGCGGTTATTGTTAATTTCATTTATTTATTTTTTAAAATAAAAATTAAAAACGATGGGGAAAACTGGGAGGGCGGCGCCCTATAGCCCTCTACTGGCCAGCCGCCACTGCAACTCTGACTATCTAAATATTTATACAATTTCTCACACATCAGACACACTGAAGTGTGTTAAAGTTTCAGAGCTTGTGAAAAAATGTGTTGTTCTTCCACATAAGGATGGGTTTGTGGTCATCCCCCTGTTTCTCACATTTTAGTGGTGCAACTACACACAAAAATAGATGTGTACTTGCTCCTGAATACAACTGTTTTATTTGAAATTAATTGATCTATCATTGCAACTGTTTATTGTTTGCCTATCAATAGCCATATATAGCAGAATCTTTTTTGAAGGTTATTTAAAAGTCATTGATGCACATTTCCCCTTGTAATATAGTGGTTTTGTTAGAATTATGTTAGCCGTGAGGGTCAGAGACTGACAGTGACATATTTAGAATTGCTCCTACGTTTGAATTGGATAACATCTGACTGTAAGTACGTGTGCGTGTGTGTGTGCAAAGTAGAAGATGTAAATAAACAAGCATGTTGAAACAACATCGCAGGACATAGAAGCTGTTAGAAAACATCCACAAATTTTCTATTAAAATATTGGAATACAGAAATTATCTCCTTTAAAATAACATTATTTAAACATCCATAGATGCCACCCAACATTACCTACTAGTTACAGAAAGTATTTGATCAATTGCATCTTCAGTAAAAGTTTCATATTTGTGAACATAATGTTTTGTGTTTCTCCTTTTTAATTAGGATGTTCCACCTAGTTGAGTTCACGGTCAACAAAACTGTAGCAGTGGTGCCCGAGAACTGGTACAGTGACGGCGTGACCTGTTGGCCGAAATATAAAAGTGATGCAAGGGTGAACTGGGCAGTAAAAAACGCAGAGGAGCCGGGACCTGACTGGGAGACATATGATGTCTGAATTCTTAAATCAAGTGGTAAGCTACTTATTATGTATATTTTTTATATAATAAGTATGACTTCAATCTTTCAATTATCTGAAAAATGTGTTTTGCCAAATTTTAGATCAGTACTTCGAGGCAAGACAACAACTAAATAAGTCGCTGTCATGCCACACTTCCGACCTGCAGACAGAAGAGGAGGAAGAGGACGTGCGACCCAAGAGGAAGCCAAAGGTGATGTAAGCATCTTTCTGTATTTTCCTGTGAATTGTAAATGAAACATGCATGCAAATGTCGTGTATGGAACATTTATCCAAGTTTCTATGTCCGAGAAGACAATACCTAGTATAAAAAATTGACTTAAATAACTACTTAAAAATTATGGAAATGATAGTACCATGACAACTGAGTGTTATTTCCCTGTCCAATTTATAGTCATTTCTTGGGGGATTCTGATGATAGTGAAGACGAACATCCAAGAAAGAAATCCAGAAGCCAATCCAAAACATCTATACAGCCACCAGCTCCTGCTATCCTGCCACCACCATCTCCTGCTGTTGAACCACCACCATGCCAACAACAAACCTTGTCTGCAAGCCAGGTGCACACACCTGCCTGGCGAGGGAGAAGGTTTGACTCGGGCACCCTTCCCTGCTCTGGTGAGTAATTTTTTTTTTTTGTTGGTTTGAATTAATTACTTAAAAAAAATTATGATATAAAATATAAAGTTTATCTGCTACTAGAGCTGAGGAAAATAATCAAATAATCGATGCATCGGGATGCGGACATAAACGATTCTGCATCGTAGAAGAGTACGCCATAATCGATTATAGTGGAATGTAGTTTTGTTTTTTTAACGGCAGTACCAACGCTGCATCCAAATCTGTCAGAGTGAGCGTCCTCCACATTTACCTCCGCCTTAATGTGGTACTGCAGGGCTGAGCGCTGGAGTTGTAACCTGAGACCGAACCGGAACCGAATCAGCCCGACCGGTTCTGTTGGATTTGGGCCGTGAATTATGTTAATTGAGCGGGTTGTCGTGCTGTGCGCTCCGCTCGCTCGATCAGCGACCGAGAGAGACACTGTCTGCTCACACAAGAGAGAGGATCGGAGGACGCTCCTCCAAACCGATGCTCCAAACACGCGTTATTATTTTCATAATTTAATTAATATTTCTCCTGGAAGCGCTCAGTCAGACTGCTTGTTGTAATGTAGGGAGATCCGGTCTTGGGGAGGGGGCGGGGTGAGTGACGGCGGCTGCAGCGTGATCGTCTGTCTCTTTTATTTAGGGACACGGAGAAGTTGGAGAGAGAAATAGAAGTTCTTGTTCCACTTTATTCTTTAGTTCCACAATGATAAACTGATGTTAAATTCAGCTTAAAGAGAAACTGGGAGGAAGCTTTGGTACATTTTAGGTTACAGGAGACTTGTCTCCTATCTGCTCCTCCAGAGACAGCATGGACATGAGGGTTACATGGTGAGGGTCCCACAGGACAGGTTAGTGGAAAGGTTTGTAGTTAGCTGGTTAGTGAAGGAGATCCATCAGCTGGGTAATTTAATCCTAATCCAGCCCACAGCCTTCTGCTGGTGTTATTATCAGGAAGAATAAAACACACATCTTAAATATTATTGGAGTGTATAATTTGTTTTATGTTTTATTATCTTCTGCATCAAACTGAACTTGATTCATTCTCCAGCATTTCAGAAATGAACCACTGGGTTCAAATAAAATAACAAACTAAGTCAAACATTTCATTTGGTGTTATTTCTGACACCCTTCAACTGTGGCATAAATATATGACTCTAGAGCTGCTCAGAGACATTAAACACTCATATATGAACCCATTATGTACTTTATTGTTACGTTATGTGTCCTGTAGGTTTTCAGTACTTTTTTAGATTTTGTGAGTTTTTGCAAAGCGTGTTTTTCTCAGCCTGAGGCGTGGTGTTGAACGAGGAAACAGATGTTTTACTTTGTTAAATCTTCTTAAATGTTTAAATGTTTAGTCCTAACCTGTTGTGAATGGAGAGCTTTTGAGGGATGGCAGGTTGTGTCACTTACGTTTTAGATTAAAAAAAAGCAATTATCTGACATCTTCTATTTAACGATGAAAACAAATCAATACGAAATAATCGTGATGCATCGTGATGCATCGGGATATCGAATCGAATTGAATCGTTGACCCAATAATCGTAATCGAATCGGGAGACAAGTGAAGATTCACACCTCTACCTGCTACATAATGTTTTCCAATCTGATAAAATTGATTTCTTGTATATTTTCTATTATTCTTCCCAACAGCCACAGAAGCCCAGATTTTGGACTTGCTGGAACATCTAAAAAAACAGATGGAGCAACTAGAAGCCAAGGTTAATTATTTAACCAGCAAGCTGGATGCAACTCCCCAGGAAATGGAGGTGCAGATTCCGGTCCAGTTGCCATTAACTTCAGTGGAGGAAGTGAACCCTTTTGAGAACTGGCTCAAAGATGCTGCACATTCCCAGCTGAAGCAGAAGTTGGTGAGTTTTGTTTGTTTGCACTGTATGTAATCTATGCTCTGTGAAAGGGTCGGTTGAGTAAAGTTGATGTCACCTGACGACTGGGGTTATCCACCCTGGGCTTACAGTGTTTTTTTATTTTAATGTATGATTTCATTATTTTTTGTTTGTTCCGTTTTAGATTTCCTCGCTGGCAGCTTTTGGGGGCCATGACACCAAATGCATAACGTGGAACATCCTGGCACACATTTTCCACGATGATGTTGGAAAGCTGATTAATTGGAAAGGTGTCAATGGGAAGAAGTCTTTCAACCAGATGTCATCAAAAACACTGCTCCTGCGTAAGTACCCATTTTAAAATGTTCACACATTTTTCTGGGTCAACAATATGTGCTCCACTACGACAACTCTTGCTACCAGCCAGTTCATACCTTTGCTATTCACACACTGAGGTATTGTTTCCAGCGTTTCACTTCTTATAAACGCTACACAGCGTCAATATAAACTTGTATAGCTACTTCTAAAGCTGGTGTAATAAAAGAAGAAATAGTATTGAGAGCTTTAGTTGACAAATTATTTTCTGCTTACAGAAAGATGATATTAGTGGAGATTGTCCTGTTGCAATAGAAAATTGTGGTGGTGGATGATGATTAACATTTAAATCTGCTTTTGTGATTGCAGATTCTGTGAGAAAAAATCCCATCTCCTGCGCTTCCACTGACCACGACATATGTAAACATGCTATCCGCTGGTTTAACTTGGCAGCAGATTGAGACTGCTCAAGGCGACGTAGTGGTACACAAGAAGTTCAACCCGCTGACCAGCATTCATCTTTTTAACACAAATTACAGTCTGGTACAATTTTTTAATACTGTTTGCATTACTATTGTTATACTTTGCTTGCACTTGTAACAGTTTTTTTATACAGTTTGTATTACTACAAATAAATATTCATCAAAATACTTTTATGGTTTGGGTGTGTATTTCCTTTAACATAAAGGATAAGTGTGGTGTGACAGATAATTTTAAATCATTTACTCCAAAGCTTTTATTTTCTGTAAAGACTTCTCAGCTACTGCATGTTTTCATTTACTAATTAAACATTAAAGAATTCCAATTATTATATAAAAAAAAAAACAGGCTGGATTATTTTCTTTATGAAAGCGCACACAAAGGCGAATCTGGTGATGCACGGGTCCAAAACGGATCCTGACTGGATGATGTGCCAAAGGAGTTGATCCGGACAGACTCCTCACCGGATCCGTTCTGTTCCGGATCTTTTCCGGAGAGCAAGTGGACTCCGATACGGGTCCGTTTTGCTGATCCGTTCCAAAGCTTACGGTACCTCCAGGATGGATCCAGTCTGGAGTCCGTTTGCTATCTGTGAAGCTTCTGGTATGCTTCTAAAAAAAGTGAGGACCAAAAAATGTCCTCACTTTGTAGGGAAAATGGTCAAAATGGTCCTCAGTATGTAGTATGTACAAGAACACACACACCACCCTGGTTGTAGTGACCCCCATCAGTGGTTCTCCCACATCTTGGTTTGTGTTTTGATGCCTGTTTTTCTTTGTGAGAGTTTTTGATCATTCTTGGAGTACTTTAGCAAAAACTGTAACGCTCTGTTTGAGAAAATGAATCTGTTGGGCTTGTACCTGGTACTCAGAGTGCCACACTGCCAGAAAGGACATGCTGAAAATAAAAAGCTTTTTATTTCCATCAATATGTGTCTCCTTATTCAAATAATCTGGGTTGTAACCATCCTCTCAATCCTTTTTCTGTTGTTCATGCTCTTGTAATCTGTTGTTTGTGTTCCGCATTATTACAGTAAACCTGTGGGAATTATAAAGTGGTCCTGTGTTATTTTATATGGATATAAACATGAGTGTAGTTAAATCTGTATTTAACAAATGTTTAACCTATGAATACCATGAGAAACTATTTTACAACATTAATTTTGCAACATTGTGAAAATGATCACTATGGTATTACAAAGAATTAAGTTATTTCAAGACAAAGTGGCAAACTAAGAAATCTAACACAAAAGTAGAAAGTAAACAAATTTTAGGTGATGAGCCAAATTGGCTTTTGGGCAAGAATATATTACATTTCATATTGGAAAACATTCTTAGGACATGTAGTGCAAATTATGAACATCTGCTATATCACAATGACACATATTCAGCTTTTAAATGAAAATATAACCTATTGAGTGGAGAAAAAAACAAACGTAATAGGTTACCTAAGACTAATCAGCAGTGTTTACTGACAATTTACAGTGGACATTATCAACAGAACATCAAGATAATTCCAATCAATCATCTCCACACATACAAGCATAAACACACTAAATCAAATTTAACACGCATATAAAAACACGATTTGTAACAACGCAAAATCAGTTTACAATCGGGCTAATTCGCCCGGTCAGCAAGTGGCAGTATCCTCGTACACTGCGGAGTAAACTGCCATTGAACGGATCACAAGAAGAGCAGAACATCTGCACATGCGCGGTACGGATCAAGTAGACCCGATCTGTACGGTCCGACGTTTTCTGTTTTTTTTCTTTTTATCTACATTATATTGAAATGTTTCAACATTGCATACATTTTAATAGATACTTATTGATACTCTCTGACCCGTAACTATCGTAAAATGCTTCGAGCGGAAGTAGACGCCTTTCGCGCATGCGTGGTACCGATCGGGTTTCCGGTACCACGCATGCGTAGTGACAGGTACAGTCCAGACTGACAAAGCCTTTATGACATCACTCAACAGGTCAGAAACCAACAGTCTATCACCGCGACAGGAACTAGCCACTAGCACAGATGACCGCTGAAGCTATCAACCTAAATCATATGGATTTACAAGAGAGTCGCAAGAATCTACTGGACGAATTAAGGTCTGTAGAAACTGAAAAACAGATTCTCTTCAATGATAAGCAGGATTTTGTTAAAGTTCTGAAAAAAATTAACGACTACAAGGATGAGCTTAAAATCATTTTCCAGAGAGAGAAAGATGATTTGGAAGACGAAAATCAACGTCTAGAAGAAAAGAAACGGAGGCTTGAGCAGGAAAGCAAAGATTTGGACACAGCTAAGACAGAAATTCAAAAAGAATGGAAGCAGATTGAAGAAGTTAAAACATCAAATCAGGAATTTCTAGAAGATTTGATTACGAAAAAATCTAAAACGGAAAAGCTTTGGAAATCGCTGCAAGACAGCAAAGCAAATGCGATTGAAGAAATAAACCAGATGAAAAGAGATCTGGAGAAAGAGAAATTCGATTTTGATGAATCAAAGAAATTTTCAGAAAACAAACTTGAAGAACTGAGACAAGCTTTGCAAGCTGAGAGAGACGAGTTCGAACAGCATAAGTCTAGCTCAAAGCTGGAGAATGAAAATGCTCGACAGATTCTGCAAGAAGAGAAAGAAAATCTACAACTTATTTGGCAAACTCTGGAGGAAGAGAAGATTGATTTTAAAAATAAGCTTCAAATAGAAAAGCTAAAGTTAACTGAAAGTCAAAATAATTTACAGAAAGGCTTTCAAGATGTAATTCTCCAGACAAAAGCCCTGCAGGAAGACAAGTTGAACTTTGACAAAGCAAAGGCTGAAACAGAAAAGGAGCATGAAGAAATATACAGCATTCTCAAGGAAGGCTACAAATCGTTAGACTTTGAGAAACAAAGCCTGGAGCGGCAGAAACTCAAATCTGTGGAAGTTCAGGACAAATTGGATCAGAATAATAAGGAACTCCTGCAAAAAGAGAGAGAACGGATGAATCAGGAGCTGCGAGAGGAAAAGATTCACTTTCTTGAACTGATAAAAGCAGAAAGACTTCGTCTAAAGAACAGTCAGAACAATTTGCAGGAGGGATTAGAAGACCTGATTCTCGACAGGAAAAAATTTCAGAAGGAAATGATTCTTTTTGAAACACAGAAGACAGAATCTGAAAAGCAGAATGCAGAAATATACAGTCGTCTCCAAGAGGGGTTAGACATTTTACATGTCGAGAAGGAAAGTCTGATGCAACAGATGGCAGAATTTGAGGAAAAAGAGAAAGAATGCAATCAGCTTATTATGGAAATGTATCAGACTCTCCAGGATGAAAGGGAACATTTAGAGCTGATGAAACAGAGTCTGCAGGATGAAAAGATGCACTTTGTTGAACTGATGAAAACAGAAAATCTTAGATTGCATGAGAAACAAATTGATCTGGAGAAGGGATTAGAAGATCTGATTCTTGATCGGAAAATGTTTCAGAAGGAAATGATTCACTTTGAAACACAGAAGACAGAATCTGAAAAGGAGAATGCAGAAATATACAGTCATCTCCAAGAGGCATTTGAGGAAAAAGAGAAAGAACCAAATCAGCTTGATCTGGAAATGTATCAGACTCTCCTGGATGAAAGCAAAAATTTAGACCTGATGAAACAGAGTCTGCAGGAGGAAAAGAATCAGTTTGTTGAACTGATTGCAACAGAAAAACTTAGTTTACATGAGCAACAAATGGTTTTGAAGAAGGGATTAGACGATCTGATTCTTGATAGGAAGAGTCTGAGTGAAGATATGATTCACTTTCAGCAGGAAAAGGAAGATTCACTTCATGAAATGAATTCAGTCCTTCAGACTCTGAAAGACGAGAGAGAAAGCTTAGAGCTGATGAGGCAGGCTCTGGAACAGGAAACAGAGTTTGAAGAAGCAAATCAAAAAGAAACCTTCAACATAAATAATACAGAAACAGCTGCGGAGGACGAGGTAGAAAGTCCTTCTGCTCAGACTGAATTTCTGCAGGAACGAATGATGAGTTTTGAACTTCCCCAGACTAAATCTGAAGAGGAGATAAGTGAAATGTACAATTATCGCCAACATGGGCTTATATATTTAGACGCTGGACTAGAAAGTCTGGAAAATCAGAGGAATACATTTGAGGAGATGGAGAAAGAGTCTTATCAGACGTTACGAGACATCCAGCGGGGTCTCCAGGAGGAGAGAGATAGTTTAGAAATGAAGAAACACAGCCTGGAGGAAGAAAAACTGGAGTTGGAAAAAATGATTGCAACAGAAAAACTTAGTTTACATGAGAAACAAAAAGATCTGGAGAAGGGATTAGAAGATCTGATTCTTGATAGGAAAATGTTTCAGAAGGAAATGATTCACTTTGAAACACAGAAGACAGAATCTGAAAAGGAGAATGCAGAAATATACAGTCGTCTCCAAGAGGGGTTAGACATTTTACATGTCGAGAAGGAAAGTCTGATGCAACAGATGGCAGAATTTGAGGAAAAAGAGAAAAAATCAAATCAGCTTTATCTGGAAGTTTATCAGACTCTCCAGGATGAAAGGGAACATTTAGAGCTGATGAAACAGAGTCTGCACGATGAAAAGATTCACTTTGTTGAACTGATGAAAACAGAAAATCTTAGTTTGCATGAGAAACAAATTGATCTGGAGAAGGGATTAGAAGATCTGATTCTTGATAGGAAAATGTTTCAGAAGGAAATGATTCACTTTGAAACACAGAAGACAGAATCTGAAAAGGAGAATGCAGAAATATACAGTCATCTCCAAGAGGCATTTGAGGAAAAAGAGAAAGAACCAAATCAGCTTGATCTGGAAATGTATCAGACTCTCCTGGATGAAAGCAAAAATTTTGACCTGATGAAACAGAGTCTGCAGGAGGAAAAGAATCAGTTTGTTGAACTGATTGCAACAGAAAAACTTAGTTTACATGAGCAACAAATGGTTTTGAAGAAGTGATTAGAAGATCTGATTCTTGATAGGAAGAGTCTGAGTGAAGATATGATTCACTTTCAGCAGGAAAAGCAAGATTCACTTCATGAAATGAATTCAGTCCTTCAGACTCTGAAAGACGAGAGAGAAAGCCTAGAGCTGA